CGAAAAACAAGGTGTAAAAAAACTGTGCTCGTGACAGAATATAACCAATGAGTTTTGTTGGGCGGGGCAACAAGGAAGGCGTCAGAACTGTCAGTGAGGGCCTTCGTTATCTACTGTGGAGCCGCGAAATTGAATCTTCGTGAAATTCTTGTAAACTGAGGGCCGGACTACTTGTACAACGAAGGAACGCCACAAATTACGAGAGTTGGGGGACTGTCTTTGAAAGGGTATTGTTGTAGTGAAGGAATATATATTCTTGGTAAATTTCTTTAAATAATTCACTGAAGACTTTCAGCTGATTATATCATTTCTCAAGAATAATCATCATTGAACTTGCCCAAATCTTCACGATCTGTCAACAAGAAGTTGTTAAAAACCGTGGTGTCAAATGTTTGTTCAACGGCCGCAAAGTTCTCTTCAAGTGCTCTCCGCGCTCTCTGCTCTTTTAGTAAACTATGGTTTTCTTCTTCTGAAAGCACTTTTTTTCTTGTCACAGCGTTGGTGTTATTCGGTGTTCCCTCTCTGAAGCTATCTATCATCTGAAGACACCATGCTGCTATCTCCAGCCTACCGCATTAGGTGTTACGGCCGTTGCTGCTGCTGCCAGTAATCACATTTATCGTGACGGCCGTACGCGTACGTCCGTCCGGTTTATCGCGACCACCTCCCCATAGCCTCGCTCTCGTCGCTCATTTTCACGGCGTTACTGTCTGTTGATCACAACATTCATTCATTCCCTGTTACAGAGAAATGTCCGCCGCTATGCTGGCTCAGGTAACATCCTTTCTGGGTTCACAGTTAGTTTCTTCCTTCGTTGAACCTGATCTAATTCATAGTTTTTAGGCTGACGAAGCAGTCGATGTAGTACCGGAAGTCCCACAGGCCAAACCCACTCGACGCCCAACTCTTGCACGCAGGATGACTATCGAAGAGAGCATATGGGAGAAGTATTTCGTGTGAGTTTTACTGCAGGAGTTCTGCTCCAGTCATTTGTGAATTACAGTACTTTTTAGACGTTGAAGTAGTGCAATGACTGAGCGTGAAAAATGGGTTCACTATACCAAAACTCGTTTTTTGTGCATGTAGGATTGTCGGATTATTGTTTATTACAAACGACCCGAGGTCGTCTTCCCTCAGGAAACTTGTTTCGCACAATGGCTGGGAGATTCGAAACGCTTAAAGTAGAAGGCGGTTCTATATGTTCGAAAAATGAAACCTCACATCTCTCAGGGTCCAAAGATATTCATTCTGCTTCTCATTACAGTTCGCACTATCGTACTCTACAATGTTTCAGTGGAAATACTGGGGTGGGAGGAGGCTTTTTTGGTGTAGAGCAGCTACCAAGCAAAAGGAATGTATAGGGGCAGAAAACCAGTGCGAAAGACCGATAACCAAGGCTAGATTTTGTCCCTAGCCTAAGACCCTTGAGACCTCTGTAGTCGCCTTTCCAATATTATAATTGATCGGACGTTAAGGGTGTAGTGACAATTTGCCCTCTGGGCCGCTTAACAGGTACGAGGCCCAGAGGAATCCCGGATCGACAAAGGCTCCCACCAAGCGGACCACTAGACGGGTACTAGCCTTGTCTGGAAGGATAAAAACGCTGACCATTTGGCACTCATTGTGGCAAGTCATTGTGTGAGCCAACAGTATTCGAAGAGCCACTGTGGTTCTGAATGAAAATAGAATTATTGGCTCAAAAGGAATTGGTCAGCGGTGGAAGTTTTTGCTTCTAATGAGCGGTCAGGAGAAGCTTTTTGCCTTACCTAAGCATGAGGTCTTGGGTAGGTGAAGTGATTCACCTAACCGTTAATTCCTTTCTCCTTCATTGAGGCCCATTTCCTTAGCTCATAATTGTTTTTTTTACAACGGTGCAGTTCGGCGACAGGGGGGGGGAGGCGTTTTGCACTTCCGCTGCTAATTCCGGGTCTGCTTGAACCTGTAAACTTTTGTGAAGATGGAGTAGTCAACTACTCTCCATGGTGAAGCTGTCAACCCTTGTAAGCTCATGAAATAACTCTCCAGGTTGCTCGACAAGTTGATGGGATGTAGCAAAAATGCAAAATGCCCTCTGTCACCAGAACTGCGCCTCGCACCTTCCAGGACTAAATGCCATCCAACCATTTCGTAGCCTTTGGGAACTCCTTGTAAAAAATGTTGGATTACCGTAATCCAGCAAAGCGTTGCACCAGAATAACCCGGTATATTGGAATAGGGCATTCTTCACTGCTTTCGACCTATTAGTGTTTTTCTTGGATTAAACTTTAACTTTGAGTCAAATACCTTATTGGAAGAAATTTTGGCGGGCGGCACATGCGTTAGTGTTGTGAAGTGGTCCGAAGATATTGCGAGAGGAAAACTGTGAGGGTTTTTGCCCTCGGAAAGCAGATGTGAGCACATCTGGTAGTCCTGTCATTCGATTCTCTGGGAGAAAGGAATGTCACTTGAGAAAAACCGTCACAACTATTGATCAGCATGTTGATGTTCTGCTGGGTTGAAATTCGAGTGCCATCTGTGAAGGGTTGATTGAACCTTTTATTCTTGATCTTTGCTATTTGTGAGATGAAAGGACATTCCGTTCTCAGGTAGCGCCGCAAATCATAAATTACCTTTGCACGTGGCAAGCACGCTTTTTAAAGTGATAATTGGAGTGTGCGATGACATCATCGGGCAACGGGGAACCGTGTCGTGCTGGTTTTTTGGAGACAAGGGCCGGCTCGGAATCTGTATGTGTCTCGTTGTAGTCGCCAATTGCGTCATACGGATTGCATCATGTCCTCCCTCATGCACGTAATGAGTCAGCAAACAGTTCTCCTAGACTCTAGAAGGTTCCCATGCAACCCTTTGCGGAAACATTGAGTCATCAGACGTTTCCGCTGTGAGGACCTATTTGTACTTCTTTCTTCTAGTAAACGTCCGCAATGGATTCCCCTGTTCTTACTGGTACTCGGCTATTTTTGCCACATTTTTGATCCTTCGAGAAAAAAATTAGTTTGGCGAGAAGGCGAACCCGTAAGAGGTGATGGAGCACATTACGGCAATAGGTCTAGGGCAAAAAAAGACACCCAGGGGACTTGTTGAAGTATCAGTGATTCTCCTCGAAGAATTTAGGAGTTGTAACTCTCCAGGAACTTTGTAATATCTGATGCATTCCAGTCTATTATTCTCGAAGTGGTACGAGGTGTAGGTTTTTTACTGAACTCTGCGAGGTGGGTAGAATGCTACATCGGCTTACGTACGTTTCAGCGGAATTGTCTTCATCAGAGCCTGAAAGGAAGGCTATTGTCAAACTTCAGTACTGCTGCATGGAACGTTTGGTCGGGTAAGTACAAATAGCTTCGATCTTTCAGGCTATGATGAAGGCGGTTCCGCCGAAACTTACGTAAGCTGATGAAGTGTTCTACCAACTTCGCAGATTTCAGCAAAAAGATACCTACAGTTCTAATATTATGGCGAGGTTTACTGAGAACCGTACTTGACGAGTTCTGCGCAGTGGTATGAGTTTTGCTAGAAACCAGCATATGAAATCTCAGCTTGACCCTGAGATGTCGTTGGTCTCCCTCGAGATCGAACAGAACCAGCTGCTCACCGGTGCGGTCCTGTGCATCTAATTGCCACTTATGGATTAACCTTTCCGCCGCGGCTGCGCTAGATCCTCGCCCAACCTTTCCCTTGAATTGATCGACGGAGTGACCCACGTTTTCCGCGGCTTTCTCTCTTCTCCCTCTCTCCGTCAAAGGATTTGCAGCGTTTTCACGGCCACTGGTGGCCTGTGGCTTCGTATCGATCTTGGGTGTCATGGCTAGCGACTGGCTGAGCGGCTCGTCGTCAATGCCTCGGACTTCGGCAAGCTTTTGATTGGAACTCGTCATAAACTTGGTTTTCTGAGGTACATTGCGTAGGAAGGCAATGGGAAACAGCTGGAGGATGATGAACTCTGGCGCTATTGCCTTTCGTGTCGTTTTTCATGCGTCAACGAACTCTAGATTGCACTGCACTCCGCCTCAGCCCCGATTTCGTTATTCGCACACCGCAGCATTGCATCATGAATCCCGCTCCTGACTGGACGAGAGCCTCGTCGGATGAGCTGGTTCACCTCGAGCTCACTTATTTTCATGGATATTCTTGACAGATCTCCATCAGGGTCTTCAATCAGATTTCTCTTGCCTACCGAATTGCTTGTCTTTCTCTAGTTTGTTTCCTCCTTACCAGGGCAGGATGGCAGGTCAAGTGACCGTATGAAATGAAATAACCACTGGCTGATGTGTTTTGGACCGTCATTACGATTATGGGGTCGGTTCGGCGACGGGGGGGGATGACATTTTGTTCTGCTACTCGTACCTGTTGGCCAATCTAGAGAGCTGTTTCATGAACTTACAAGAGTTGACAGGTTTTGCCATGGTGGCTCCATAAACTCTCTCTCTCCAGCTTCCCCAGGGTTACAGGTTTCACCAGAGTGAGACTTGCAGACCAAAACTAGCGAAGCAGCGAAAGTGCAAAATGCTTCCCCCCACCTCCCCTGCGCCCGAATACGTCTTCCATATCTACTGGAGCATGCGGACGTTTTGTGGAGAGCATGCTCACCCTCGATATGAGGCGCTATTATTCGTCTGTTAAAGGGGCAGAACGGACCATCTGCGTTCTGAAGTGTATTCTTTTCCCAACCACTTCTTTTTTATTGTTTTCTTATAAAACTGCTTCGAATGTGACAAATCTGCAATTCGAATAGACCTTTATGTGATTTCTCTCACCTTTACTGCTGTTCTGGGCCCGAAATTAGTTTTTAATGTGGGTGCTCCCCTTAAAAACCTCCGTAGCTCCGTTCAGTGAGGTTCGCTGAAGATTTCTAAGGCGTTCTTGTGACCCTCATTCAAAGAGCCTGCCATCCTTCCCTCGTTCCTCGACGCGTTCGCGGTTGATTGCTACAGGTTGTGTCGTTTTAAAGGTAGTTCATCTTCGGTAATCGCTCATTGGTGAACGTCCAAAGAGTGCTCTCTGCTATGGAATCGGGTACAGTTAAGAAGACCGGCTGGGGACCATCAGAAATGTAAGTACCATGTAAATTTGCAATGTCAGTAGGTGCTAAGCCTTCAGTAATGTCGAATGGACCATTTAATTGTGAATAGCCTCATTGCACTCGATAACTGGACATGGGAAGAGCATCGCACATAATGACTTAGCCCGTAGGTGAGAATGGCTTCTAATTAGGAGCGAAGATCGATTTGCACTAGTAAGCTGTTCCCTGGTGTGAATACCCCGCAGCCAGTTCTGATTAATATGCTTTTCTCGTAAACACATCGTAACTAACAGCAAAGTCGGGACTGCGGTTCTCTTTTAATTTTTTCAAGTGCAGGTGGCGGAGAGCCACCGGCTTTGAAAGATTTGTTTCCTTGGAAACGATGAAATTTAATTACTTGCCCCAGGCACACTAGGCATACTAGGCAGTATCAAGGAAATCGAGTGCTAGTGAAGTAGAAGTGTAGGTTCTAAGGGGGTAAAGCTGTGACTGTCAATTAATCGTGGAATGTTTCAGACAGGAGCAGAAGATCGTTGACATTGCGACGACCCATCTGGAACATCTCTGCCGACTTGACATTCGTGAGCCACCGCATGTCGTTCGCAAGACGGGAATCATCTGCACTATTGGTAAAGATTTCATTTCACATTGTCTACAGTAGTTACAGTCTCCTCGAGGTCTGAAAACGAGTTCGATTGAGGTTGAGGACCAGCTGCAATAAAACTGCGCAATTTGTATAGCGCGTAATGAGAATTGCGGTCGAGGTGCACTTTGAGTTCAGTGAAAACCCAATCGCTTGCACGGTTTCGAGGAGATTTAGTGTTCCAGAAGAATCTCATGCGAAACATATGGATTTTTCTTGAGAAGGTCATAACTGAAGTCCGCTCTCGGGCATTAATGTGCTGCAAAAAAAGCCATGGCGCATGCCGCACCACTTTGCCGTTCATCCAAGCGGACGTGAGCATGACGAAGGGAATTGGCTTAGGCAACCCCGAAGTGGGCCACGCATCCTAATTCAATTCAGAATCATAGTGGCATTTGAATGCAGTGTCTCCTGCATAACGGATTACAGAAGCTAGCTGTTCTGCATATCAATGGCAATTGCTCCGCACGACCACCCTGTACAGGCTCCACGTTGGTAGTATGGGCGGAAACAGAGGACACCGTCCAGACGTAGTCATCTTCTTCACCGTCATATGAGACTTTCCAAGGCGGTTAAAAGAAGGGGTCTGCCAATGGCGGAGCATCAGCGCGGGCTTTGCCTGGGATATGTGACAAGAGGATCGTAATTCTCCGCGCTGGTGAGCGTCGCGTGCGACGTCGCGCCCGCAAATGACGATGGTTCCAGGTAGTAGATGGCGACAACAGGCAATTCAGAACCGAAAATAGTCATGAATGTCTACGATGACGGGGTCTACATGAAGTCCGGTGCTCCAGTCGACAGGTTAACACGAGTTAAGGAAACGCCGCGCCCATCGCCGCGCGCCTTGCCCGTCTCCCCTTTGCCTTTGGCTGAGCCCGAAAGGATCGCTCGGTTGACTGTCTGGCATTCAGTAACTCTAGGGCCGTGCCTATAATCAGCAGGGCCTTTTCTCACTATACCACCTCTCCCTTTGAGAGGATTTGGCACTATGTACTTTATTACTACTACTACTACTACTACCACTACTACTTCACCAAGTTTTGCGTAGTGATTCCGAATAAAGTCCGTATTTTTCGCGATAGCACCATTTGGCGCCGAAATCGTACTGGCGCCAACTTGGCGTCACTACTTTTGGCACCGGATTGATTGTAGGCTTGCATTTGAGGTTAATTAGGTGTTCTGATCACGGATATAACGCTTGTTTTTCTGCGCCAGCGATAGTCTGCGTTCTGCCTAGCTGAGCCTGGGACAGTAAGCATCACATTCCCCCGAGCTCAGTAGCGCAAGGCGATTGAAATTCCTCATCTTAGCGCTGGCGCTGGAAATGTTATGCTCATGAAGAGAATTCTCAATAACTTTGGTAGGCAGATTCTGAATCGATTTCGGTTACAAAGGTGGTGGCGCCAGATTGTCGCCAGTTGTCACCAAATAGCCACCACTTCGACAACTAGTGTCATATTAGTGATCGGAGCACCTCCGTAATTAGAGATTCGGCAATACTTGTCGAAGGTTGGTGGTGGTAGTCAAATAGTGGCGATAATTTTGTCACTCTTGGCTAGTGGTAAGCTTGGACAGCGTGTGTCGAACCTCTCTGTTCCTCCCTATCCGCACCTCTCCTCAAAACCTGATCATCAGTGTGACATTCGTGCGCATCGCTTGAGCCAGAAAAAGGCGTTCGGAGGACGAGAGCAGAATTTACGCTATTATGTGGGTTCTTGTGGATAGCTCGCCATGACGTCGAATTGTGTTTTCTTTGCTG